TACGAATTTTAGTTTATATGTGTATAGCTTTTTATATTGTAGTGTTGTGTGTGGTTAGTACTTATAATAAATAATTATAATTATATAATAGAATAGTAAATATCTCTAGTTGCTAATACAATTTTAGGACCTGATTTATGAATCATTTTGGAGTGAAACTTATTTACGCGCGCTGGGAGTAAAAATTCAAGGCCGTGACACACGAGCTCGTTGTAACGAAACGTGTTAACGGCTTAGAAATTCGTAGTGACGCGACGTGTCTTTGTGAGCAGTCCACGTGTTTATAAAAAATATTGATATTTTAATACAAATTTTGTAAAAGTGAATCAAATTATTATATACGCGTAAAAAACATTTGTTACACGTAAAAATCTATTTTTATTATTTTACGCGAATAAAACTGTTACACGTAAAAAACTATTTTTTACGCGTATAAAACTATTTGTTGCTGGTAGAAAACTATATTTTTCGCGTATAAAACTATTTGTTACTGGTAGAAAACTATTTTTTACGCGTATAAAACTATTTGTTACGTGTAAAAATCTATTTGTTACACGTAAAAAAAATTTTTACGCGTCAAAAACTTATTGTTTCTGGTAGAAACCCTTCCTTCCGCAAAAAAAATTACGTTTAAAAAACTATTTGTTACACGTAAAAAACTAATTTTAACGCGTCAAAAGCTTATTTATATTGTTTCTGGTAAAAAAACTTTTTTACCCAAAAAAAAAATTTTTACTTGTAAAAACTATTTGTTACACGTAAAAAATTATTTTTTTTACTCGTCAAAAACTTATTGTTTCTGGTAAAAAACCTTTTGTTATGCCAAAAAAAAATTACGTGTAAAAAACTATTTGTTACACGTAAAAAACTATTTTTTACGCGTCAAAAACTTATTGTTTCTAGTAAAAAACCCCTTTACCCAAAAAAAAATATTTTACCTGTAAAATAGTGTTTGTATTACTTTTATAGATATTATTATCGCACTATTTTAACAGATGAATAACCAAACATAGATTCTAGAATCTACAGGTTGCAACATCTTCGATTTAGCATCATATGGAATATATCAAATTAATTAAAGTAATGCTACATTTCATATACTCTCTTAAACTTTACAATGTCTTGTATTTTATCGTAGTTGTTTTCATTGATATTTAGTACGACTCTTACCACCACTTTCTTTGACATATAACCACTATATATTTATTAGAACTCTACAATGTCATGTACCATCTAAGAACATCATGAATAAATATAGTCATTAGTTTTAAGTAATATACAACTGTGTTTTCTTTCTCTGTACATGCCTGGCGCCCAATATTTATAATTTGGAGTTATTATTGTTAATTAGTTTCTTTCCAGTGAAATACCTTATCCACGACTGCTCTACCAACGAAAGGCTGCCGTTCGCAGTGATAATGTTTTAAAAAAACGTTACAGTATGACCCGACATCTACAGACAGATCATAGCAGCCGGGAGAGGCAATACAAAGTATAAGAGTATTTTTTACAAGTTTCTTATCTGTTTGTACACTTAGTTATTACAGTTATGTTTTTTATATCCTTATAGTTATGTAGTGTTACTAATATTTATTAAAACCAAGTCTAAATCGTTATTTTTTAACGTTTTTTAAATATTAATATAGAATTCCAATGAAGTGTCGATATGACATTATGACAACAGTCACCAAAGCCACCTTGTGATATTTAAAAATAACATCATAAAGCAATGATAATTATTGCACAGAGTGTTTTAAAGTTAAGGTAAAAGACAACCCTTCAATTAACCCTGTATAATCAGCCAAAGACTAAAGTTTATAAAAAAATGAGTATATGAATTAAAGTTGATAGATTTAGGTATAGACAGTTTGCTAAAAAAAATTATGAAAATAGGGCTAAAAATAAAAGAAATATAACACTTTAAACTAGACGAAAAAAATTTCCGTTGCGTTTTTTGCATCTGAGTGTATAAACATAGAAGCATAAACAAAAAGCCATTTGTAATTAACCGCAAAACATACAAGAATAACGAAATAGCCTATTGCTACCCGAGTTCGGCCGGTTCGGCCCTGTTAAAACTCATCGCAAATATTTATGGGTTATTGCCAAAGACACCTAAAAAAAGGAGACAAAACAATTTACATTTTATCGCGATAACGAACCGTGTTCCGCAAAAATCGATGATGACAGATTTACGCGATATGTGATAGAACGGTTCAAGTTCCAAATGTTATTATTGTTATTAATGTTTTTTGGGTACCTATAGAAACGTTAAACTAAATATTTGTATAGGTATATAACTTTATTTAATATACATAGATTGTGCCAGGATTATACCTTTGAAATCATTTTTAGTTTTCTAATTAAATTATATTGGGGAAATTGCAATGACAACTAGCGGCATCGCTGCGGATTCATCTTTACTACGAAATTGTCGAAATCTGGATGAATTACGCTGACATTTGACGTTTTTATTTGTTTTCATTCAACTTATATTTGACAGTGCGCGGTTGTGAGTTTTCTGCGGTAGTTGAAAGTTTTTGTAGCTTTTGAACGACTTTCTAATAATTATTAATCTATTTAAAGTAGTTTTTAACTATCTACGATGGTTCGTCAGTGCATGGTTTGTAAAAAGATGGACTATTCTAACCCGGAATTGATATTTCGACGGTAAGTGTCATTACGTTTTTTTACCTTTAGTCATGCTTACAGTAGCGTATCTAGATACTTTTAATAGTTATAAGTAGATTATTACAAAAATACGTATATTTTCTTATTTGTTGGCGCTTTCGATTGTGAAATTAGAGTTACCCTCAGTTAGACCTCAGGAAAAACTAGTTATAATGTAAAATTGGTCTGAGGCAACCCCAATCAATTTTTGATAAAAAAAAACATCACGCCACTGATAGAGCCAAATGACAGAAAGATAGACGAAACTCAACCGTGTTGTCATATCTATGTACCCATCTCTTTTTAACTCTCATAAAAGTGTCAAACCGTGTATGATTCTAAAAAAATGAGTTTTATGAATGGAGTGTTCTGTCTACCCATTTAGATGTCTTTGATTATTGCCAATAGGAGCACGAAATTTTTCTGCACCAGCTCAATGTTCTGATCGGGCCTAAATGAAATGTCAAACAAAGTGTAGATTAAAAACTTTATAATACCTAATGTTTCAGCATCTTAAAAATATATTAAGGAATATTATTTGCTACATAAACTATGAATCTGAGCAACGCAATAGATTTAAAAAGTCTAAGGACTAACTGCACGCCACTGGTTTAATCAAATTATTCACTTAAATATACCAATTTGTAGGTAATTTCATAAGCAAAAACTTAGACAATTAGCAACAATTAGCATTTTATGCACACATATCGGAGATATTTATTAAAAATAAAATACTTTTAGCGTTGGGACAGAGGCTTTTGTTAATCTGCACCATAACACCCAAATACGAGGCATGTTTTTTAAGTAAGTACCGTTTTGCGATTCCGCCGCCGCAGCGCTACGGTCGGCGTTCCGCGCATGCGCGCTGGTTACCTACATCTCTTGTCTATGCACAGACGCCAGTACAGTCTGATTCTTCATTGTATACGTTGTTTATTGAGCGTTTAAGATGGCTCCGACAATCGTGAGCCCCGCCGATTGTGAAGTACGGGCTGTCATACGATTTCTTAGTGCTAAAGGCGTAAAACCGATCGATATTCATCGTGAGATCTGTGAAGTTTACGGACAAAACATTATGAGTGTGGTAAGGAAATGGGTGAGAGCATTTAAAGATAGCCGCACAAATGTGCATGATGAAGAACGGAGTGGGCGTCCTTCGGTCGTTAATGAAGATTTGGTGCAGAAAGTGGACGAAAAGGTGAAAGAAAACAGACGCTTTACAATTTCATCATTGTGTGACTACTTTCCTCAATGTTCTCGTTGTGTTTTGTATCGCATTGTGACCGAGAACTTGAATTACCGGAAATTGTGTTCACGTTGGGTTCCGAAAATGTTGACGGATTTGCACAAAACCCAACGTTTAGGCAGTGCATTGACTTTCCTTGAGCAGTACCACAATGAAGGTGAAGATTTTTAGACAAAATTGTTACTGGTGACGAAACATGGGTGGCCTACGTCACACCAGAATCGAAACAACAGTCCATGGAATGGCGACATTCATCATCACCCAAAACAGTGAAGTTTGCAAACAATTTCTGCCCGGAAAATCATGTGCACAGTTTTTTGGGACAGAAAAGGAGTATTGCTAGTGGAGTTTCTGCCTTGTAATGAGACAATCAATGCAGCATCTTATTGTGAGACATTGAACAATCTGCGCCGTGCAATCCAAAACAAAAGACGTGGCAAGTTGAGTAAGGGTATTGTTTTGCTGCATGACAATGCCCGTCCACATGTGGCTAATCGGACCAAAGATCTCATCAAATCTTTTAAATGGAAACTCTAGATCATCCTCCATACAGCCCTGATCTGGCGCCCAGTGACTACCATTTATTCCTGCACTTGAAGAAATACCTGGGCGGTCAGCGTCTTCAAGACGATAACGAAGTCAAAACAGTTGTGATACAGTGGTTAACCAGTCAGGCGGCAGAATTTTATGAGGAGGGTATTGAAAAACTGGTGCCACGTTATGACAAATGCCTCAATATTCACGGAAATTATGTAGAAAAGTAGATTAAGGTACAGGCTTTCATGTAAAAATAAAATTATTGCGATATCTTCGCACGTTTTTTTTTAATTCCAAAACGGTACTTACTTAAAAAACATGCCTCGTATCTATGCCTAATTTAGCTTAGGGAATTTTGTTCAACGAGCATTGTATAATTGAAAAGAACTTTTCCGTACGCTCCTATCAAGTTCTAATTGATTTGTAAAATTCTTTATTCAATTTCTCACACTTTAATTTGTATATTAAAAATGATGTTCAAATATTTTCGAAATATATGATTGAATTTATATCTAATTACAAGAATTACGTTTCATCAATAACTTACCATTTTATCTTTTCCTAAAAGCTGAGAATCTTTTTGCGTAATTTGCTTTTTAAGGCTGGCAATCTGTTCTTTAAGCTGAGTCATTGCGACTACATGATCCGAACTGTTGGGATCCAGATCAGTTCTTACCATTCCTGGGGCAGTATTATTACGAGCCACTTTATTTGGTGGCTGCTCGTCGGGTACTGGCATTTTAGTAACATCAGGTCTGTTAGGTCTCTTGTTGTGACCACGTAGTCTGAAATAAAAATACGTATTGTTGAAAAATCAGTAAATTTAAAGGAGCCTTAAAATCCTTACAGAACTGATTAATTCTATACCGGGCGCGTCTCAAAAGTGGCTCACCTCTATAACTTTTTCATTTTCTTAGATAAAAAAAACGAGATTTAGTATGTTAGTATATGACATAAATTAGAATTGATTGACGTATTCAATTGTTTTTAGTCACTTCCTGTTTCACCGGAAATGACTACAACTTTTGATTTTTAAATGGCACCCCTGGTATATTTTTACTTTATTCGATAGCAAATGACACTCTGAATAGAATGACATATCATATGTCAACTTTTGACATTTTAGCTAAAAAGAATCGTATTTTATTTTTCAATCTAGGGTGCCATGGATGTGTTAAAAACTAGTTTTTAATCAAGGAGCCTTGGAAAGATACATTAGAGCGTCTAATGATTTTCGTGTCTTGTCGGGGCCCGTTATAAGATGCACAAATCGTAATTTTTAGTCATATCTCATTTTTTTCAAAGGAAACAAGGGTGGCTCATTAGCATATTTGGAAAAAGTATTTTTTTACGAATAATTTGGTACCACACACTTGGTAGTTCGAGTCAAATTGTCATTACGAACCGCATGTTACAATTTCAAATAAACCATATGCGAAAATATCAAAAATTGACATATTATATGTTCTATTCAGAGTGTTTGCGTAGTGAGATTTTCTATCGAATATTGTAAAAACATACCGGAGGTTAAATGACACCACCTAACCTAACTTAACCTAACCCAAAATCAAAAGTTGTAGTCATTTCCGGTGAAACAGGAAGTGGCCATAAACAATTGAATACGTCAATCAATTCTAATTTATGTTATATACTAACATACCAAATCTCCTTTTTTTATCTGAAAATATAAAAAAGTTATAGGGGGCGAGCCACACATAGGGGTGAGCCGGGGACGCGCCCGATATACAAAGCCGACAAGATACGCACTGATTGGCTAAAATTGACATTTATACCATTACCCCAAACCAAAACCGGAATTTAATGTTCCCTTTTTAGAAATGTCGCAATAATGCAAAATGATATATTACTTTTAATAAAAAAAATTGTTGAAGTTTTGAAAGTTATAAATGTATTTTTTTTGCAAACATCACAAAAGTATCTATTATTTTTGGCCACATGATTGACAACATTATTAAACTGACATAAAGTGTCAAATACAACGAGCGTAACCATAGTTTCTCGATATAAGTCTCTTTTAAATCTCTTCATATTATTTAGAACATTTAAAATTGTTTAAAAAATTATTATTTGTGGCGTTTGAAAACAAAATAGCATATTCTATTCGGAGTAAAATTGATTTTTTGTGCCTCGCTTGTATGTCGTATAGCCTCCTCACAAAAAGTATCATTTTTACACTTAATAATACAATATATTATTTTTGCTCTTATATCGCTAAAAAATTATGACGTCCGGATTTTGTCCGAATTTTTGGGAAGGCTTGTCCGGGGTGGACAAGTTTTCATCTGGTAACCCTACCAATTGCGCATGGTTCAATTCCTTCAGAAATGATATCGGACAATCGCGTCTTATCACTTTTTTGGTCCCTATTTGTATGGGCATGGGCTCCGAACATTATTGTACTGCCTCTTTGAATAAGAAGACTAAGGAAGGAGCATAATACTATCCATGTATTCATGCATGGTGGGCGGAAAAAGCACCCTAAAAGCACTCTAGGGTGGGGATCCTTGACAGTTCTGTTTGACGATTCATTTGACACATTTGAATTTGATTTGAAATTTTGTGGATTTGTCAGTCTTTACGGAGCTTATTTTATGTTATTTATTCTACTACTGGTAGTCGTATAAAGGTAGTAAATCTAGATGGAAATTGTGGCAGAACTTAAATTAACAGTGACACTATCGCGATTTATCGAAAAAGACTCTAAAATAGTTGGTTGTGTAGCATGCGGTAGATCTCGGCAAAAATTGAGTGAAATAATGGAACAACTTTTCGCTAGTAAGTGACTATACGTGTAGTAAACCGATCATTTATGAAATTCACTTAAATTAACTAAATTATATATTTTTCTTGCATTTTAGCTTTTATTTATTACTTGTCAAAGATTAGATGTCAAAGAATTTAGATACGTTAATTTGACTTACCTGCTTCAGTAGCGTATCGGATGTTTGTGTTAATAAATACTTATTATAACTTATCTATTTTTATTAGAATTATATATTTTTATAACAATTTTAATAACTACCAACATTTATTCACAACGTAAAATAAAACAACAAATTATTGAGTCTACCCCACGTCTACCCTACATCATAGTTTTACATTTTTTAAATAAAATTAGAACGACACTGATAAACCGGAATTTAAGTTGGCCATATTTGAGGCCCATCGCGGTGTACCTAAGATTTTTGATATGCTCCTTCCTTAGTCTTCTTATTCAAAGTACTGCCTTCTGCAGTTTATCTCCAAGAGCTCATTATCTTCTCTTCTCAGAATTTCGCCAATGGGAAGCTCATCCTCGTCGTTGTCGTTGCTGGTTTCTGCTCTGATTGCATATCATGTTCTAGCCCGACCAATAGTTTTTCTAATTCATATTTAATTAAGAAAATATTTGATGTTTTGAAGCAATCATCTGATTCAGTCGGGTCGTATGTCGACAGGCAGTCAGTATAATGTCGGGATTTGTAAGATAGCTGAGAATGTTAGAATAAATGGTTCTGCATTGCTTGCTCCATTTTCTTAATCAGTGTTGTAGATCTCAGTGGGGTTTTTATTTGGCAACATTAATGTGGCATCTGCTTTGCATAAACCTATGTCGCGTTGACATAAGGCTTCAACTGTTAATTTTATTGGCCGGAGTATTTTTACAATGTTTCTGGCCATTCTATGAGTCCAAAATTGATAAATGTTTAGATCAATGAGGGTCTTTTTTATGGAATTTTCTAAGAGACTAAAGCGGCCAAGCTTATCAAGTAAGCTGATCTATTAGTTTTACAGTCAAATATAAGTTTTAACTAGTGTTGGGAAAATTCGAATTAAATAATACGACTAATTCGATAGTAAATTAAAACTAACTAATTCGAATTATCTTTTTCGATATAATCGAGATAAAAATTAGTAGTATTTTATATTTATCTGTGGTAATCGAATTACAAATGAACATAAAAGATAACCTCTTATGGACGAATACGAATATTAGTAATTAGTATAGTACTATTAGTAATATTTGGTTCATTTCCATCTCACCCAAATTTCACCGAACACCTGCCGAACACTAAAATTAATTTTCTTCTTTTATCTAAATAATTATTGATTGCAACTGATAAAATAAAATGAAATACGAACCGCACGTAAACAAGGACATACTTATATCGTTTTAGAAGAAGCTTTTATTTTAGATATGAGCTTTTTTCAATAGGAATTGAAACAATCATAAACTCGGCACTTTTAAATTTAAAACTTTAAATTATGGTTTAATTTATTAAACGGCTTCGGCACAGTTAATAGAATACATTGAATAAAGAATATTTTTTTTATTTTTTATTCAGTGATAGAATATAGGCATGGCAATGGTTCAGAATTTGTTTAAAATAGCCCCTAGACGAACACTAGCTGGGACGAATTTATTTTTAGGTTAAATTTATAATACTACTAAATAATTCGAATTATTAATTCGATTGTGAAATATGAATTATTACTAATTATTCGATGGTGAAAATAATTCGATTATTCCCATCACTAGTTTTAACACTGTCTCATATTCGTTCCCAATTTTCAAATAGCCGAATGAAACAATTTAATATATGCATAAAAATTCGATATTAATCCGGTGATTTTTAAACTTATCCCGGGATTTTTCGAGACAAACTATCCTTTGGGATCCCGGGATTGACATTCCTAGTTAAATTACACAGCGATGCCGACTTGAACTACTCCCTTTCAACATCTACTCCGAAGCGGCATTCCGTGAGGCACTAGAGAGTGTTAAGGATGGTATTAAAATCAATGGCACCTTTATTAATAATACTCGTTTTGCCGATGGTACAGTCATGCTCGCTGTCAACGTTCTACACCTTCAGAACATGTTGAACTGCATCGCTGAATATAACACGCAGTACGGATTGCACATCAACATCGACAAAAGTTTTGTCACAAAACTAAAATTGATGTGAAAAAACACTGAAAAGGGCAGTCCTCAGAATTAACATTGACAAAGTGAGAGAAAAGTGTCGTCCAAACGTTTCAACCCCAAAACTGCGATTTTGACGAAGATCGAACAGGCCAGACGTACTTTCGCTTCCACTTCCTTTGTTTGATTTTAAACAAGAGTTTCGTATTTTTAGGGTCCAAGGTACGGACTATTTACAAGGTACGGGCATTATCCAAGGTCCTAGTAGTATCCAAGGTACGGGTAGTGTTCCCCTGTACCGTTGTCTTATGGACGGACTGTGTCCAAGGTTATGGTACAAGCTTATGGCCCAGGTTACGGACCTTATCCAAGGTCCTAGTAGTGTTCCAAGGTACGGGTAGTGTCTAGTAGTGGGAACTATCGAATGAATACTATCGAAACATTCGATAGTTGCAATTCATTCGAATAATTCGATGGCTAGTAAAAAAACATTCGTTGAAAACTATTCGAATAAAAATTATCGAATAGATGCGTCATCTGCCTTGAAATATTGTATTCTAGTAATTCGGAGGCAAAAACCATTCATTTATAAAATTCATTCATTTATGAAATTCATTTATTCGTCAGGATCGATTATAATAAAATATTAACTGGATTTTAGTTGTCGCCCGGCGACGTAGGTTTCTTTAGAGAAACTTTTTTCTTCTTTTTTCTAGAGAAACCCGACAGCGGTCGGTCGCATTGCTATGGAAGAAGCCGGCATCTTTGATTTTTTGCGGAGTCATATAAAGATAAGGATGATTGCACATTATTTTTTTTATTGAGGTGCTAGTATTTACACAGAAAATATATTATGAA